GAAATTTACACTACTTTTTCGAACTGTGATTCGACTTCAACGTTAACACTGCAACGACGATTTACGGACCATTTTCGCATTGGTTGACAAAATATGTGCAATTTTGAATGTATTTTACATAATTTTAATCATAAATATTCGATCGAAAAACTCAGCAAATAGACGATCATTTTTAAATAGGGTTCAAACATTCCCACACTACACAGTTCGAAAAGTAGAGTAAATTTCTGTTCAATATGATGCACACAAATGGAGCATCATATATCATATAAGTTTACATTATATATCATGTAAAGTTCTAGCACAATTCATGCAATGTAGCAAATATTGTATACAAAAGCCCATGTTTGCAAACAACATTGTTTACAAGTTGCTCGGTTGTGTGAAATTAAATTTAAGTTTACATGAATGAATGTTTACATCACAATTAAAATTCAGAATTTTTATCTGTGTAGTAGGGAAATGCATAACCTGAAACCGATCTCCGTCAAGAGGCAGAGCAGAAATGGCTGAACAATTTCATTTCAAACCAAAACCCAACCAAGCTAACAAATTTTAGCAAAATAAGTATACCACGATTCTTCGGTTTCCCGCACCGAAAAACCACATTGCCTAACTTCATTTACCAATGACGAAAACCAGCGCTCAAGCCAGTGGTGGAGTATGCGATAGGAAAAGAAATCTGATTAAGTGTGCTGCTGGTTCGAGACAACCTTGCCTTGCCATAGCTTACCGTATTCCTCGCACAAGCAATGGTAAATTGGAATTGTTCGACATCGCAGAAGTCACTCTGCTCGAGGAAACATAATTTCAAAGCATAACCTCTCGCTACCGTGCCGATAGGTTTGGGTGGAAAAGAGAGTTCTCGACAACGAATCGATGAAGTCCCTATTGAATTTAATTTGATTCCGACTCTAAACCAGAATGTGTACCAAATCTACTTAAGAATAATATTAATTCGGTTTGCTGCGTCAATTTCGATCAAGTTTAATGCTATCCCGTGTAGTCGAAATGAACTGTGTAAAGAGAGGGAGAGAGGAAAAATATTGAATTACAACGAATCGTTTTGGATTTCTATACATCTTGTTGGAAATATTTTGCATGCATTGATACAAAGGCATGAATTAATTGATTTTACTGTCCTGTATTTATTTCACAAATCAAGCTATTACCAGTATGTTTTTCCTGTCTGAGAGACCAGATAGTGGATGGAAAAAGTGCTGCTATATTTCACACGTCTTCCAACGACGTGTGATACCCGGCAATGACTGGAAATAATGTCGAAGATGATTGCTGAACGCAACGACGCACTTTGATCGCAAGGAATGGAGAAAATGAAAAAAGGAAAAAAAGGTGTTGGCATCCTTAGAAGATGAGATGATGAAGTGGGAGAATAATGGTTCTGTGCTGAAGATTTATTGCCCTATGAATACGCAGAATGTTGTTTTTCTTACATCGAGCGCAGTAAAATGTTACGTATTTGTAGAGAATAATATTTTTAGAAATGTTCTAAAACGAATCGTTTGATAGACCATGTTTGGATTTAATATGGTTATTCCGCATGCAAGCTTCATGAAAATTTAAGATACATATTTATATTTTTTTTAATTGTGCTTTCTTCTATCACTTATTGATTTTCAGAAGCCATTTCCCGACCTAAAAAATCCTGATCTTCTATAAGGCCACCCACTTCGCAGCAAAATTTCTCAGAATGGCGGACTGACATTGTTGTTCTGCTGCGCACGTTGCCTGATAAATAAATTTATGTGAGGCTGATAACTCCGCAGACGTGAGATGAATTTAAATCACCCTCTTGAAGTGTACAAGAGGGCCTTCCTGAAGGACAAGCATAAGGCGGACCAGCTGATGTTGTTCTTTTCGTGTTGATGACAATTGTGTTATGTGAGTAAAATATTTGCGCCACAATTATTCCTCCCCAGTTAAGACACATTTCACGCCCGCTCAGAGAAAACTCCATTTTACCACCGTCGTCGTCGTCGTTGTAACAAATCGCTTCCAACTTGATAAGGAATATAAATCACCAGAAAGCGCATCCTTGCAGCACTCGCAGAAAGGCCACCTCGTATATCATCGTGCCTTCCAGTCCATGCTCAAATTGCCACCCTCCAACAGCGTGAGGCGATGGGATTCTGAGCGAAGAAATTAAACTGTTCTGAGTTTTATGACGATTGTTGTTCGCCATTAAAGAAAAACTTTATCTTCACGTCACATTTCACGCGGGTGAGTAGGAGAAAAGTAAAAAAAAAGTACACCTCCTTGCGCAGTTTATATCGAGCACAAAGAGAAAGGCAGACCGTGAGCCGGAAACACTTCATAAAACACGCGGACGCGGATGAAAAATTGCTTCTGAATGCTCTGAATGCCTCGTTTCACCTCCCATCTTGGCCCGCCTGCTCTCCTACGGGGAAAAGTAGTCCAGAAAAGGTGCGCAACGGCGACGACGACGGTGTTCTGGATGACTTCGGGCGGCTGCTGACTCTCCGTGCAGCCCATCCCGGTCCGAATGTTGATAAGACGCTCAATTATCTTTCAGTTCACTTGAGTGATTTATTTTGGACGAAAACTTTTCCTCGAATCGAGCGTCCGTTTGAGTGTTATACCTGGAAATGAACTGGCTTGGAATCTGTTGGAGGTTTTGTGATTCCAAACTCATCAAAGTATTGCTTGTTTAGCTGTACGTTTGAAGGGTGTTTGTTAAGTCTTATGTGATATGTCGTGCAACTTCGTACTAAAATGGCTAGAACCACTGACATCAGCCAGAAAAATAGTAACTCATTCAAGGCAGCTTCCAAATAAGCTTCATCGGTTTTTTTTATCAAATTTTAAATTCTGTCCTAGATAATTTTAAATAAAATATCAAATACCCAAAATAGTTCAGGAAGTGCTACAATAATTATTAAAAAGTCGTTATGACAGCTATCCATACAAAATAAACCGTTAGATATAACTTCGTCAAGATACATAATTTGACAATCTTAAAAAAAAAAAATCTCACTAGATAACTGTTCACAAAACAACTTAAACATGTGTAATGCAATGTCTCTTAAATTTATTTTTGAGCTTCATTTTTTTTTTTTTTTTTTATTAATTTATTTGTACAGGCTCAATCGAATAAACTTTACAGAGCCGAGTTATCATTTGCATTATACATGAATAATGTCTTAAATCTAGAGTTAAAGGAATTGAACCGATTGCTCGCGGTCGTCTCGAGGTTAGTGGAGATTTACAATTTTTTGGATGGGGAAAGGGAGAAGGAGGTTTGAAATATGATTTATTATACAAATATTTAATTAATCCTAAAACATGAACTTATTTCTATTCATCTTGAAAAAAAAACATTAAAAAAAAAACTACACGCACAATACACAAACTAAACACAAGGTTAATCAAACTTACAATCTAAGGTTAGTATTCTTAAAGTAAACATATATGAGTTTCATAAACTCCAGATCACGTCTAGCCAAAATATCCCGAACTGGAACATTAGGTTGTCTACCTCGAGCCCGAAGGGAATCGCACAGCTCAGATCTGACTCCACGATGCTCAGCACAAGACCAAAGGATGTGATCGGCGTCTTGGTAACCTTGTCCACATTCACAGAGATTGCTGTCTCCCAGCCCAACACGAAACAAGTGAGCGTTTAACGAATAGTGATTGGACATGAGGCGAGACATCAGACGAATGAAGTCTCGACCCACATCCAACCCCTTGAACCAAGGACTCTTCGACACCTTAGGGATGATCGAGAATAGCCATCGTCCCAAACTTCCTTCTCTACATTTATTTTGCCAGCTGGCGAGCGACTGTTGACGATAAATGAAGAAAAATTCATTGTAGGCGATTTGTCGATCGTAAATATCGCCTTGCATAGCGCCCACCTTAGCAAGTGAGTCCGCCTTCTCATTGCCCGGAATCGAGCAATGAGATGGGACCCATGCAAAGGTGATGACAAAAGATCTTAAAGATAAAGCACTCAGAAGCTCTCGTATTTTCATGAGAAAATACGAGGAGTGCTTTACATGCAGGCGATGTAATGGTTTTTTGTCTTTTTTTATTTCGTGTTCCATCTACGCTTTCGACTATACCAGTAAGCTTGTAGAACGACGCACATTGTAGAACATTGTAGAACGACGCACACACTTGTCTCGAATCTCTCCAGCAGAAAAAGCATACGAAGTCGAGCATTTTTATTTCGTGTTGCATCTACGCTTTCGACTATACCAGTAAGCTTGTAGAAGGACGCACATTGTAGAACATTGTAGAACGACGCACACACTTATCTCGAATCTCTCCAGCAGAAAAAGCATACGAAGTCAAGCATGCGAGAAAATGAGCGCTTCATGTTTGCTTTTAGGCTGACCATGATCCGAAGCATGGAGAGAGCAGTGGAGAAAGCACAGGTCTGATAGTCGCAACGTCCGTGGTTCGAGTCCAGTCGGCAACCTTTTCCTATTTTTTTCGACATAATTAATTTCACTCACTAATACACTCCACATTTTTCGGTCTCCAATTTTCTTACATCGGACCGCAGCTAGGTATATCGCATCCTCGGTTCATGCGGTCTCCACTTACATCCTCTGATGATGAATCCCACATAATTGTAAGCGAATCTTACATCCACCTGTTGGGTGTATGGACCAACCTGGGAGGCCCTACTAAAACGCTACGACGACCAGCGTTTCCTAAAGAAGCAGCTGTTCCGGGCTTTATACGATCTGACGCCTATTCGCAAAGAATCTCCGGAAGGTCTCCACACCCTAGTGGACGACTTCCAACGCCACGTCAAGGCATTGGCAAAGCTAAGGGAAGCAGTCGACACATGGGACACTCCTCTGGTATGTATGCTCTCGTACAAATTAGATTCTGCTTCTCTCCGTGCCTGGGAAGAGCATTCGTCGAAAATGGACCAGGTTACATACGCTAATTGCATCGAATTCCTATACCAACGGATCAGGGTTCTCCAGACGGTCTCCTCAGAGATGGAACATCGTCATACACCGGTTAAGGTGGCCGGTACAAGTCCGTTCAGGAAACCACAGCAATCGAGGTCGGTCGCTAATACCGCGGTTGCTAGCCCACGATCCAGTCCCCTATCGTGTATCTCCTGCTCCGAAAAGCATCTCTTGGTACAGTGTCCAACATTCCAAAGGCTCTCCATTGGTCAACGGAGGGAACTCATCGCCCAGAAACGTCTTTGCTGGAACTGCTCCACCAATCCCAGTCTTCACCATCCCCACAGAAATGTAGCGTCGCCCCAGAATTCGAACCACCAGCCTCCTCCTCCACGGTAAGGTCCGTGGAATCAAGTGTATCAGCTCATCCAGCTACCGAAGTGAGTCTGCCAGCTCATGCCCGCTCTTCAAGCACAGCTTTCCTTTGCACGGTTGTGCTGACAGTCCTCGATGAAGACGGTAACGAGCACTCTGCTCGAGCACTCATCGATTCTGGATCCCAATCCAACTTTATCTCCAAAAGGCTCGCTAGTCGTCTGAGTCTGAAACCAGAACGAGCCCACATCCTCATCACTGGGGTTGGGGAGTTGGCAACCAGAGTTTCACAGCTGGTCTACGCAACGATTCGCTCACGAGACGAGTACTACACAAGTGAATTGGAATTCCTAGTTCTTCCAACCCTCATGACCGAACTTCCGGGCAGAGACGTGGACATCTCCGATTGGTACATTCCCAAGACAGTTGAACTCGCCGATCCCAACTTCAACATCAATAGTCCCATCGATATGATCTTGGGAGCTGACCAATTCCATGAGTACCTGAGGAACGGTAGAATCCACCTCAACCGTGGGTCACCAACGCTAATCGAAACAATTTTCGGTTGGGCAGTTTCGGGCCGCTGGTACAGCAATTTTCCACGGATCCCTCTACGCTGTTGTACCGCAACCACCACCCATAACCTGGAATCACTTATGGAGAAGTTCTGGGAGATTGAGTTTATCAATACTGGTCGAATTTACTCGGCAGACGAAGTCGCTTGTGATGAGCTGTACCAGGCTACTACGATCAGAAACGCAGACGGAAGGTATGTAGTCGCTCTTCCAAAATCTCAGAATCCCCATATTCACCTCGGCGAATCTCGAGCCATCGCCGAAAGGCGTCTGCGAAGTTTGGAACGCCGGCTTGAGCGGGACGAAGCTGTCAAGGTAGCCTACCATGAATTTATGGACGAGTACCTACGACTTGGCCACATGCGACGACTCGAAGATCCGGTAGATGATTCTCTGATGCACTACTACTTGCCGCATCACCCGGTGTTCAAGTCCAGCAGCACTACGACAAAGGTACGGGTCGTATTCGATGCCTCTTGCCGCACATCATCCGGCAATTCCTTGAACGACATTCTCCTCGTTGGCCCAGTCGTGCAAGAGGATCTCCAGTCCATCGAATTGCGATTCCGGACGAAACCTGTTGGAGTCGTGTCGGATGTGGAGAAAATGTACCGCCAGATAGGAGTACTACGCATCGACTGATCGCTCATTCGAATTCTCTTCAGAAGTAAACCAACAGATCCAATCTCCACGTTCGAGCTTCAGACCGTTACATATGGTACGTCCTCTGCGCCATTCCTCGCCACTCGAACCCTAGTTCAACTCGCCAACGATGAAGGTGAGAATTTCCCGATGGCCAAGAAGGCCGTGCTAGAAGTTTTTTACGTCGACGACCTCATCAGCGGTGCCGAAACTCCAGAAGAAGCCATCGAACTCCGTCGGCAGCTCAGTGAGATGCTAAGTTCCGCCGGTTTTCCATTGAGGAAATGGGCCTCCAACAGCTCAGCAGTCCTAGCCGAAATTCCTTCGGACCAACTAGCAATCCAACCGTTCTACGAGTTCTCCGACGAGCAGTCAGTGACCATCCTTGGACTGATCTGGGAACCGAAGACCGATACACTGCGATTCCGAATACAGCTTCCAATTCCAGCTACCGTGTTCACCAGACGAAACGTCCTTTCGTATATCGCGCAGATCTACGACCCACTTGGCCTCGCCGGTCCGGTAATCTCCATCGCCAAGCAGTTCATGCAGCGCCTGTGGGCGTTGACAACCAACGACGGGAAGACCTACGCTTGGGATGATCCACTTCCACCAAGACTCCAAACCGAATGGAAAACATTCCATGATCAGCTGAATCTCTTGAGTGACGTACAAATTCCCCGATTTGTCTAGGTGGCCAGGGCAACCAATATCCAGCTACACTTCTTTTCGGATGCTTCCGAGAAGGCTTACGGCGCATGCGTATACATGCGCTCCGAAGATCAACATCAGAACAATTTCGTCCACTTGCTGGCAGCAAAGTCAAGAGTCACGCCGTTGAAGACCCGCCATTCCATTGCGCGCTTGGAACTCTCCACGGCGGTTTTGTCTACCGAACTCTTCCAAAAGGTAATTGCTTCCCTAAAATCCGACTGTCCAGTATTCTTTTGGGTAGATTCCACGACGGTGCTGCAGTGGCTAAATTCATCACCGGCCTGCTGGAAGGTATTCGTGGGCAATCGAGTCTCAAAAATCCAACAAGCTACGGTGGGACATCCATGGAATCACGTCGCTGGGTCCGACAATCCGGCCGATGACATCTCTCGTGGCCTTACTCCGGCCGATCTTCTCCACTGCGAACGCTGGTGGACCGGACCAACGTGGTTGAAACTGCCGTCGGACCTGTGGCCAAACCAATCCAACGGAGGCGATAATACTTCAACAGAAGAACGCAAGATTTGTCTAGCAGCCAACGCAACCCAATCCAACGAGTTCTCCGAATTCTTATTTGGTCGCCTTTCGTCATACTCCAAGCTACGCCGAATCGTCGCTTATGTTTTCCGTTACCTGCGTGCACTGTGCGCATCAGCCGCAAGGAACCATCCAAATGGTACTTGTGCGGTCTCATCGAAGTCTGTGGTACAACTCGCCGCATTCCTCACAACGTTGGAACTACGGGAGGCCGAAATCGCTTTATGTCGCCTGGCTCAGCGCGATACGTTCTCTGGAGAAGTGGCAGCTCTACGAAACGGTATACTTGTGAATAAATCTTCGCCGATGAAATGGCTCAACCCTAGCATTAGCATCAACGACGTCATTCGGGTCGGTGGACGACTCGAAAACTCCAAGGCTTCTGACGATACCAAACACCCAATCATCATTTCCGGCAAGCATCCGCTGGCCACGCTGCTAGCCAACCATTGCTATCGATCGCTACTGCATGCCGGACCACAGCTGATGAGTGCACCATTCGCCAGAAATTCTGGATTCTTGGCGGTCGGGATCTCCTTCGTCAGGTGTACCACCAATGTCACACCTGCTTCCGACGAAAGCCAGTCCTTGTGCAACAAACAACCGCCGATTTACCAACCTCACGAGTAACTCCATCCCGTCCGTTCTCTGTATCGGGAGTGGACTACTGCGGTTCGATCTACCTGAAGGGAGCACACCGCAAGGCAGGACCGGTGAAGGCATACATCGCCATTTTTGTATGTTTCTCCACCCGAGCGGTCCACATAGAACTTGTACACGATCTTTCGACGGCAGCATTCCTTGCTGCACTCCGAAGATTTGTTGCTCGTCGTGGTATGGTCTCAGAGTTGCATTCGGATAATGCGACCAACTACAAGGGAGCTGCAAACGAGCTCAACCAAGTGTACCGAATGCTCAAGACGAACGAACAAGACCGCAAACTCATCTTCAACTGGTGCACCAATAGCAACATCGAATGGAAGTTCATACCACCTCGCGCGCCCCACTTTGGTGGATTATGGGAGGCGGCGGTAAAATCGACGAAAAATCATATGCTGAAAGAACTAGGCACAACAACAGCCCCCAGGACGAAATGACAACTCTACTCGCTCAGGTAGAAATGTGCCTGAATTCCCGACCAATCACCCAGATGTCATCCAATCCAGCCGATCTGGAAGCACTCACTCCAGGTCACTTCTTAGTCGGCTCCAATCTTCAAGCGATTCCCGAGTTCGACCTCAAACCAACACCAGACAATAGGCTGTCACGATGACAGTGAGTGCAGAAGCGATTCCAGCAGATATGGAGAAGGTGGTACCCCGAATACCTCCAACAACTTCAAGCTCGCTCCGCACAGTTGCGCCTAAATGTAGACTGAACACTTCACAGAAGACCATTGCTTTCTCAATTTTGGACACATTTAATCGTAATTTATTAAATAATTTAGATTCATTGACACTTACTTCAATGAAAAATAACACTTTTGAGTTCATAAAATAGATTGTTGCAACCCCATGACCGTCTTGTAGAATGCTGATATTGAATGCTATTGAACGTCAGTTAAATAAAATTGAATTTATGCTGTAAACATTTTTTTTTTGTAATGAAAACTCGTCTTAGCAATAATTGGAGTCTCATAATGAAATTATATCAAGATTTCTATCACCAAAAACATTTTTTACGCGTCATCTAAAAATGCTACCCGAAATGATCATTTTCACTCGGTGGTCAATTTGCCCCCGGATTACGGTACAGGTTTCCTGCCCGGTACAAACAATATGGACGGTTGAGTTATTGCTCCTGGCGTTATAATATAGCGATTATACATAGAATTAGCTTTCGTGCAAAGTACGTGAAATTTCACTAATTTGTTCAAATTTTCAAAGTGCCTTGAATCAATGTCGTTTTCGGCCACTCGACAACTTATTCAAACAGATAACCATTCTATAATTCGAGGTTGAAAAGCATAATTTACTCAAACCACAGCGACTGCTCCAGCTACTTACGTTGGTTTCGTTTCCTATTTTATTAGACACATGGGAACATGAATGAATAATTCTATATAGATACCGGATTTGGTTCCGAAATTGCACTTCCTTTCGCTTCAGGTTTTTCAAACTATACATCTCCGAGGAACGTGTTGTAGCTACCCATCTATGTATGTGTGTTAGTACAATAGCAACCGTCGTATCCTTGGCACTGCTGGAAAGCCAGACTTTTTACCAGTCTGGAGCAGCCAATATTCATACCAAAATAGACAAGAGACGAACGAAGAAATCAGCTCCTGCAACAAAAGCAGCAGCCAGAAGGAAGTTGTAAAAAGTGCAATATATCTTGCCAGAACTAACCGCAAGTAAAGAAGCTAGAATTCACACTTTAGGGATTATTGGACGGGTAGAAGGTTGCTGGTGATGGCGGCGGCAGTCAGGAGAATGAGAAAGAACAAATTTAACTAGGGTTGCTGCTCGGATCAGATCTGATTTGTATAATTTATTACTTAGGTTATTTGCACATGAAGAATGAAATTCATAAATTGGATACATGTTGGCTGAAAGAGTGGATACCACTTGAGGAAGTCGTTCTATCGAGTAGAATCAAATCTTGGAAATCGTGGCACGTATCGTTGAGTAGGTGAAAACCCACGCCAGCCACATGGGAGCAACCCTCGAATACTCTCGTCGAAAATAAGAACATAATCATCGCAACATACAAAGGACACAATCCATCAAGAAAATCTATAAAATTTACGAGGAAAGGGCGTGCCTCAGCTCTAAATGTGTATTCTGTACAACATGAACCGAAAGTTAGTTGAAGAGGAGAGTGCTTATCTGTAACATATTTCCCCTGCACCGCCATCTGGCTGCCCCACCGGATGGACACGTATCCAGACCGTCGTCGTTGTCGTCGTCGACGCAGGAAAGTCGCTCACCGTCCACCTCATCCGACGCCGACGCCACCGTCCAGACGACCATTATCCCGTTTTAGAAAAGAAACTGCTCTCGCCTCACATAGGACCATTCGTTTTCGGGGCAAGGATGTGCACCGGCTGCAGCCGCCGCAACTTTGCAGGCAGAGACTGGAGAGTGCCAAATGAAGAACAAAAGCCAGCTATCCTACACTAGCCGTATTTCTTGAAGGAAATAAATTTTATTTAATACATAGCACGTCATCGCTTTGCTACATTGCGAGTGATACATGTGTGTGTGTGTGGTGTTTTAGCCTTATCTCTGGTCTGGTGGGGTGAACTTTCACTTTCCGAGCAGGAAACTAACGGTACAAGCTGTGCACAGGTACAGACAAGGAGGAACTTTCCGGCTTGGGAAATGATCCAAACAAAGACAATGGATAAGGATGCAGATGGGTACGGTGTTGTAATAAACACATTATAATGATGTTAGGATGCGGTTTTGTAAGGTTTATTTCCTTAAGCGTACAACAGTCCCAAATTAGACGAATGGCGTTATTGCTTAAGTCATAGTTCATCTACTGGAATTTAGTTAGGCTTTATTTTTGGCTCAAGAAGCTACAGAATCCTACGTTCAGTGTTCTGACAATCGTATTTTGAAACATAGTGAAATACTGCTCTAAATTTTCACACAGATTTGTTCGTAAACTTTCATAACGATATGGCACCCATAAACACGTAAATAACTGATAAAGTTGGAGGCTGTGGCATTCAGTCTTTTAAATGGTGGAACGAGCAAATACAGGTCAAATTGAGTACATTTCTGTTTTGCGTTAACCACTCTCTGAAAATTTCAGCTCATTTCTAAGATGAGCTGGCGCTTTCAGTTTGAATTTTGTATGGGGAATTTGGATAAAATACATGAAAAAATGGCATTCCTACACTCTATCGATCATAAAAAAGTTTTCTTATTATCGATTTGATTCTGATTTTCCAAACTTGTAGTTCAATCAATGAGTAACAACTTTGCTGAAGATTGCATCATGAATCCAGTTAGTTTTTTTGAGATATTCGATTTAGATGTACACTGAGGAAACTATCCCTTCTATTTACATAAGCTGCATCGTATGAACACATACAAATATGCACTCTATCCAATTTCATAGGTATCGTATGAATTCATACTCCATCTATAGCATTTATAGATGGATACAATAAAAGGTGCACGAAAAATATTTGAATTCCATAAACCCTTCTTATGAATTGTTTTGACGCAACTTATGTCAAAAAGTCATAAGACGATCGTATGAAAGGTAGTAGGTTAGTTCAAATCACAACAACATCAAAGATGGCGGATGCAGTTTCGTGACATTGTATAAGGCTTCGTAAACCTGTAAGATTAAGAAAATTTAAGTTATTTATGATTTTAATTATATAGTTTTACATTTGCAGATTAGCTTCTGGTTCTTCCGCATCCATCGCACATAGCTGCACCGACTGACCGAATAGCTTCCCCAATTACATCAAAGTAGAACGCTAACGGAACGAGAAGTTTGTTGGATCCTTCGAACTTTTTTCTAGTTTTCGCACCAACATAGTCTATTCTACACCGATTGCATCAGGATGGGCAAATCAAAGTTGGCACTCGTGGAGAATAGATGAACTAAGAAAGTGATGATGGTTTCAAAATTTTACATGGTGAGGTTAATGAGTTCAATCTTAAAATGCCTTTATTTTGCAAATGGAGCATTTTATTTAAATCTGGTTAATGCTACGTTAGTAGAAAACTTAAGGACTACTCAATAGATATATAATATAGAAAAACTCATTTCTTTTCAGATTTTTAGGTGTATGCATAGATTTCAGCTTTTCTAAAACTGTAGCAACAACCAGATTTAAATACCATGCTACATTTTCAAAATAAAAGCATTCTAAGATTGCACTAGCATAGCTCTCCGTGGAACATTTTTAAAACCATCATCACTTTCATAGTTCGTCTATTCTCGACGAGTGCCAACTTTGATTTACCAATAGAAAACTCGTGAAATTTTCTAAAAATTAAGTTAATTGAATGAAATACGAGTAAATAAATCCAATAAATTAAAAACATACGACGTACGAAATCAATAGTTAAATTCCATGATATGCATCATTCGTATGTATTCAAATTCATAGTTGTATACGTGAAAAATCATACGATGGCTGGTTGAAAACATCTGACAGTTTTTCCGATCGTATGAAATCCAACATAAAATCTTGTCGCAAAAAAACCATACGATATTTCTATGAAATCTGATGGAATAATAATCTCAGTGTATATGAGCATTTCGTACATGAAAATTTCAACCAAATCTCCTATATGAACTTTCAACCAAAAGCGCCAGCCCGTGTAACGTCAAAAAGAACTGAAACATTCAGAGAGTGGTTATCGCACCAAAAGACATAAGGCTGGATATTGGCCTGTGGAAAATGTGAACTTTTATTTTTAGTGGTAATCTAGTTGAGAAGCAGCCTGTATTTTGTTGCAAAATACGGGGAGAATGCACATAATTAATTAATATCTCCATAATACTAACCTGAATCGTGATGCTGTCTTCAGCAAAGTTGTTCCTTATAGTGCAAACTACTTGTGCTGAAATTCTGTGCTTCATCGAGATTACTGAATCTATGCACGAAAGAGTGAAGTAATTATATTCCTCCATACATTTCAACCAATATCCCCATA